CCATTTTGCATTGCCTTTCTGTAAGACCCTAGGACCTTTGCACAACCCCAGAAAGGGAATCCTCCCTGAAGGACTAAGACTGTAGCCCAAAAACATGGGGAAGTCAGAAGTGGAATTAAATGGATGTGTAGAGGAAAAATAAAATACATTAAAGACACCTGGGTTTAGACCAGGCACCGTGGCTCACACCTGTAATCCCAGCACTTCAGGAGGCCAAGGCGGGCGGAGCACAATGTCAGGAGTTCAAGACCAGCCTGGCCAATATGGTGAAACCCCGTCTCTACTAAAAATTAGCCAGGCATGGTGGTGCACGCCTGTAGTCCCAGCTACTCAGGAGGCTAAGGCAGGAGAATCACTTGAATCCAGGAGGTGGAAGTTGCAGTGAGCTAAGATTGTGCCATTGCACTCCAGCCTGATGAAAAAGGAAGACTCCATCTCAAAATAAAAAGAGGCTGAGGCCTACTGGGCTGCATTCCTAGACAGGCAAGGCATTCTAAATCACAGGATGAGATAGGAGGTGGGCACAAGATATACATCATAAAGGCCTTGCTGATAAAACAGCCTGCAGTAAAGAAGCCCGCCAAAACCCACCAAAACTAAAATGGCCATGAAAGTGACCTCTGGTCATCCTTACTGCTACACTTCCACTAGCGCCATGACAATTTGCAAATGCCATGGTAATGTCAGGTAGTTACCCTATATGGTCTGAAAAGGGGAGGCATGAATAATCCACCCCTTGTTTAGCATATCATCAAGAAATAACTGGCCAGCCATGGTGGTTCACACCTGTAATTCCAGTACTTTGGGAGGCCGAGGCCAGTGAAACACTTGAGGCCAGGAGTTCAAGACCAGCCTGGCCAACATGGTGAAATCCCATCTCTAATAAAAATAGAAAAATTAGCCAGGCGTGGTAGAATGTGCCTGTAATCCCAGCTACTCGGGAGGCTGAGGCAGGAGAATAGCTTGAACCCAGGAGGTGGAGGTTGCAGTGAGCCGAGATTGTACTACTGCACTCCAGCCTGGCGACAGAGCGTAACAACGGCCCTGAGGGCTGCTCTGTCTATGGAGTAACTATTCTTTTATTCATTTACTTTCTTAGTATACTTGCTTCCACTTTATGGACTCGTCCCGAATTCTTCCTTACATGAGATCCAAGAACCCTTTCTAGGGGTCTGGATTCGGACCCCTTTCTGCTAACACCACTACTATGGTTTGAATGTTGTCAATGTGTACTGAGAACTGGGGCCTTTAAGACGTGATTAGGGACAAGCACAGTGGCTCATGCCTGTAATCCCAGGACTTCTGAGGAGGGTGGATCACCTGAGGTCAGGAATTGTTGATCAGCCTGGCCAACATGGTAAAACCCCATCTTTACTAACAATACAAAAATTAGAGGAGTGTGGTGGTACACGCCTGTAATCCAAGCGACACGGGAGGCTGAGGCAGGGGAATTGCTTTAATCTGGGAGGTGAGGTTGCAGTGAGCCGAAAGTCATTGCACTCCAGCCTGAGCGACAGAGCAAGACTGTGTCTAAAAAAAAGGGTGATTAGGACATGAGAGTACGTCCCTCATGAATGGGAATAAGGCTATTTTAAAAGAAGTTTCACATAGCATTTGGCTAATTTGCTTTTCCACTCTTATGTCACATGAAGGACACGGCATTTTTCTCTATTTACCTTTCCGCCTTCACCCATGTGAGGACCACTAAAAAGGCCCTCATCAGATGCTAATACCTTGATCTCAGGCTTCCCAGCCTCCAGAACTGTGAGAAAATAAATCGCTGTTCTTTATAAATTACCCAGTCTTGGGTATTCTGCTATTCCAGCACAGACTTAAGACAGCCACTTACTGGCTATCTTACCTTCCTCTGACTATGTTTTTGTCATCATCCATAAACTGGAGATAATGTCCACTGAGCCAGGTGCGGTGGCTCATACCTGTAATCCCAGCACTTTGGTAAGTCGAGGCGGGTGGATGACAAGGTCAAGAGACCAAGACCATCCTGGCCAACATGGTGAAAGCCTGTCCCTACTAAAAATACAAAAATCATCTGGGTGTGGTGGCATGTGCCTGTAGTCCCAGCTACTTGGGAGACTGAGGCAGGAGAATCACTTGAACCTGGGAGGTGGAGGTTGAAGTGAGCCACGATCCTGCCACTGCACTCCAGCTTGGAGATAGAGTAAGACTCCGTTTCAAAAATAAATAAATAATGTCCACTTATCCAGTACGTTTTTGTTTTTGTTTTTTGAGATAGAGTCTTACTCTGTTGCCCAGGCTGGAGTGCACTGGCGCAATCTTGGCTCACTACAATCTCTGCCTCCCAGGTTCAAGAGATTCTCCTGCCTTAGCCACCCAAGTAGCTGGGATTACAGGCATGTGCCACCATGCCTGGCTTATTTTTGTATTTTTAGTACAGACAGGGTTTCACTATGTTGGCCAGGCTAGTCTCCAACTCCTGACCTCAGGTGATCCACCTGCCTCGGCCTCCCAAAGTGCTGGGATTACAACTGTGAGCAACCATGCCAGGCCATACCCAGGAATTTTTTGTGTGCTTCAAATGAGTAAGTATAGGCGGACACCTGTAATCCCAGCTACTTGGGAGGCTGAGGTAGGAGAATCTTGAACCTGGGAGCTGGAAGTTGCAGCGAACTAAGATCATGCCAGTGCAGTCCAGCCTGGATGACAAAATGAGATTCTGTCTCCAAAAAGTAAAATAAAATAAAAAAAACAAGTTAGTACAGGTGAAGCACTTAGAATAGTCCTTGGCGCATTAAGAAGACTATATAAAGGTCAGATATGATTATTATAGCACACCCACATTCTGGGCTGAAAACAGTATCTCATGCACCATTATCACACTTTGCAATTACACATTTATTTATGTAATTATAATAATGCCTGATGCTTTCATTAAACTGGAAGCTCACAAGGCCAAGAACCACCTGGGTACTGCACACTGACTTCGTCTGGATGATTCTAGGCTTCTCCTTTTTGCAGAAGTGCATAGGATAAATTTCCTTTCCTTTAACAATAAAGAGAAAGGAGTTCGGGGGATAGGGGAAAGATAGCATTAGGAGAAATACTTAATGTAGTGACAGGGTGATGGATGCAGCAAACCACCATGGCACGTGTATACCTATATAACAAACCTGCATGTTCTGCACATGTACCCCAGAACTTAAAGTATATCTAAAAAAAAAAAATAAAGAGAAGAATCTGATCTGTCCTGAAATGTGTATGTGTGTGTATAGGAGAGATGCGCTCTAGCCATGGAAATGTGTGACTGGGGCTGGGCATGGCGGCTCATGCCTGTAATCCCAGCACTCTGGGAGGCCAAGGTGGGTGGATCACCTGAGGTCAAGAGTTCCAGACAAGCCTGGCCAACATGATGAAACCCCATCTCTGCTAAGAATACAAAAATCAGCCGGGCATGGTGGCACATCTGTAATCCCAGCTACTTGGGAGGCTGAGGCAGAAGAATCTCTTGAACCCAGGAGGCAGAGGTTGCAGTGAGTTGAGATCACATCATAGCACACTCCAGCCAGGGCAATAGAGCAGGACTTCGTCTCAAAAAAAAAAAAAAAAAAAAACAGGCTGGGTGCGGTGGTGCATGCCTGTAATCCCAGCACTTTGGCAGGCAGAGGTGGGCAGATCATGAGGTCAAGAGATTGAGACCATGCTGGCCAAGATGGTGAAACCCCATCTCTACTAAAAATACAAAAAAAAAAAAAAATTAGCTGGGCATGGTAGCAAGTGCCTGTAATCCCAGCTACTCAGGAGGCTGAGGCAGGAGAATCACTTGAACCTGGAAGGCAGAGTTGCAGTGAGCTGAGTTTGTGCCACTGCACTCCAGAGCGAGACTCTGTCTCAAAAGAAAAAAAAATGTGTTACTGAGATTTACAGAATGCTGTCCTTTTTTTTTTCTCTTAGTAAGTCAAGAGTTTAGAGGGCTCTAGTGAGAAGATTGTCACATTAGCATGTTCAAGGTGAAGAGCATCAGCTAGGATGAGCAAGGTTGTTTACAACCACTGATGGTGTGGAAGGGGTCTGTGTTAAATGCTATACAGATAACACCATTGGGGACCTTAAGAAGCTGATGATTACGGCCCAGACCAGGGCTATAACAAGAACAGCCCTTTCAGGGACAAGACTGTCCTGAATAAGTGGTATACAATTTTTAAGGACCGTATATCACTAGGGGACTATAAAACGCAGTAGGAGATGAAACTGGAGCTTTTTTTTTTTTTGAGACAGACTCTAGCTCTGTGGCCCAAGCTGGAGTGCATTGCAATCTCAGCTCACTGTAACCTCTGCCTCCACGGGTTCAAGTAATACTCCTGCCTCAGCCTCCTGAGTAGTTGGGATGACAGGCACCCACCACTGCACCCAGCTAATTTTTGTATTTTTAGTAGAGACAGGGTTTCACTGTCTTGGTCAGGCTGGTCTCGAACTCCTGACCTAGTGATCCACCTGCCTTGGCCTCCCAAAGCGCTGGGATTACAAGCATGAGTCACCGAGCCTGGCCTTTTTTTTTTTTTTTTTTAGACAGAATCTGGCTCTGTTACCCAGGCTGGAGTGCACGGTGCCATCTCAGCTCACTGCAACCTCCACCTCCGGGGTTAAAGTGATTCTCCTGCCTCAGCCTTCAAGTAGCTGGCATTACAGGCACCGACCACCATACCCAGTTAATTTTGTATTTTTAGTAGAGATGGGTTTTTACCATGTTGGCCAGGCTGGTCTCAAATTCCTGACCTCAGGTGATCTGCCTACCTTGGCCTCCCAGGGTGCTGGGATTACAGGCGTGAGCCACAGCTCCTGGCCAGAACTGGAGCTTTATTATCAACAGATTAAAATTTTTTTTCCCTTTCCCACCTTTCTATCCCACCCTCACCCCCCACACTGGTATACATGCTTGTTTTGTTTTTGTTTTTTTTTTAAGCTTCACTATTAGTCCAGAACATGCTTGCTTTTAAAAACTCATATTAATAAAAACTTAGATGTCAGAAAAAAAGAGTTTAATCATGAAACCAAGGAAGTTTCTACAGTTAAGTTCCCAACAGTAACCAAGAGAAATATAGCTAATATAAAGAGTTTCCAGGATTAGAGGACAAAAGCTGTATCAGCAGCTGAAAAATATAGTTATTCTAAAGAGATCTGACACATCATCTATTCCGACAAAAGATTTTTTAAGTGGCACTGCATGAGTCGAAATGGTTAATTACCTAGCAGAAATTGATTTCTCTATCTCTGTAACACTCGACGCAGCTGGCAGGCTGTTGTAATAGTCATTCGTTTTCGTGGTGACGAGAATGGTTGCGCCTTCCTCCATGGCTGGGAGTGGAAAGCAATGGTCAGAATCAACCTTTGGTTTGTTCTTAACACAGTCTTCACAGGTACATTCTTCCACCGTGTACTGCAGGCCTCTCGGAAGAATAATTTCATCACCAGTCCCGCTCTTTTCCAGGTTGACATTAGCCACGCCCAGGAGACCTGACCCTGATAATACAGAAATAGAAACATTAACCTAAACGTCAGAGTGTGGTCAAGAGAGTCTTAGCAGTATACATCGGGACTCAAAGCAATGTGAGACAGATTTTTTCATTTTGTAGAGATGGGGTCTTACTGTGTTGCCCAGGCTATATTCAAACTCCTGGGCTCAAGCAATCCTCCCATGTTAGCCTCCAGAGTAGTTGGGACTACAGCTCCATGCCACCACATCCAGCTTGAAACAGATCTTTTCATTAAAAAAGAATGAGTATGGGCTGGGCACAGTGGCTCACACCTATAATCTTAGCACTTTAGGACACCGAGGTGGGCAGATCACTTGAGGTCAGGAGTTTGAGACCATCCTGGCCAACATAATGAAACCCCGTCTCTACCAAAAAGTACAAAAATTAGTCGGATGTGGTGACACATACCTATAGTCCCAGGTACTCAGGAGGCTGAGATGGGAGAACTGTTTGAACCCAAGAGACGGAGGTTGCAGTGAGTTGAGATCACACGACTGCACTCCAGCCTGGGCCACGGAGCAAGACTCCATTTCAAAATAAATTAGTGCACACAGAAATAGGGCACTGGCTATACGTGTTTGGGAATCCAATCAAGAACAAAGGTGCTACCTAAGTATTTTTATTTTAAGAGGCACTTAAGTAGAACATTTCCTTTTCTGGGACTGGTTCTTTATTGCTTAAAAAAGATAATTATTTTTTAGATGATTGCTCAAATAATCTAGGAGCAACTGGTTACTCATTTCTAACATTTTTCAATAGCAAAATGTTCACCCAAGCAAATAACACTTAAATTTGTATAAAAACATGGACATAGATCTTGACAAGTATGTTCTTCCTGACAGTAGCAGACCTGGTTAGGAGTTTCTGATAATGTGGCATTTAATCAATGTGCTAACGTTAGTCAAAGAGACTGATGTTTCCCAAGAAAGCATTAGTACTTTCAATAGAGTAATTACCAAGGGAAGAATCCTGGGAAGGTTGACTTCGTAGAAAACCTGCCAAGTTGTCAAAATCAGAATGAAGATGTCTCACCTCCACCAAGTTCATTTAATGTAACTATTTTCCAACATACTCGAAAGGGCTGCAACCAAGTGAAATAGTCAACGCTAAAAAAAGAAAAGGAACTGAAACTTACAATAGCCATCTCCTGGAAATAGATTTCAAAGATTCACCAACAAACCAACCTGTGTTTTTAAATTCGTCCTTTAATGGTTCCGAGCTCATCTTCTTCAGCAAAAACATTAACACAAAAACTGCCAAAGAAATTATCAAGCTGAGTCCCAAACAGGTCCAGAGAATCACATTTGTTCCTTTCACTGAATTGGTCCCACCTTTATGAAAAGAATGTCAGACAGATAATGAGCTGATAGTGTAATATTCACACACTTTATTATTTATTTATTTATTTTTGAGACAAAGTCTTGCTCTGTTGCCCAGCCTGGAGTGCAGTGGCATGATTTCAGCTCAGTGCAACCTCCACCTCCCGGGTTCAAGCGATTCTCCTGCCTCAGTCTTCCAAGTAGCTGAGATTACAGACTTGCGCCACCACACCTGGCTAATTTTTGTCTTTTTAGTAGAGACGGGGTTTCACCGTGTTGGCCCGGCTGGTCTCAAACTCCAGACCTCAGGTGATCCACCCACCTCCACCTCCCAAAGTACTGGGATTACAGGCTTGAGCCACCGCACCGGGATGATTTTTGCTATCAAAATAATCAGGTATGAATTATTTCCATTCAATCACCTTAATTAATGAACATCAACTTTTAAATTCTAAATATCACTTAATTAGAAGTTTCCTTTTTAAAAAAAATCTATGTTGCTAATAGTGCTGAATCATGTAGAGTTCAGTCCCAAATAATTACTTTGTTTCCGTAAACATTAAAATCATTGCCTTGTTTCCTTTCTCTTTTTGATTCAAAAAATCTCACCATCATGCCCATTACATTGATTCTCTGAATAAACAGTCTCTATAGATAGAATAGTTCACACCAATGAGTAATCATTCAAGCAGTATTACTTACTTGCATTACAATAACGCTGACACGTTAGAGGAGGAGTATTAGAACATCGAAGTTGACAAGGTTTGCAAGCATGCAACAAACTGTCAAAATATTCATTTTGGGAGCACTGCTGAGCCATCTGCAACATGATCACAAAAAGAAAACAAGGGAGCTACAGAAAGAACACTCTAGAAGGACAAGTAATGTCTCGACAAGAATTCCAGAGCAAATGCAGCAATAGCAGCTAGAAAGTCTAGGAGAACAATGAACTTCGCCTGCCTCGTGGGTTCTTACAGGGGCCGTCTGTTTCTTTGCGATGGCCAAGGATTTGAATACCACATCTAACTCAAGTTTCTAAGTTTGAGTCTTGGATGGGGTAGGAGATAGGGTGTAAATATCAGGGCAAGTCATATCTGAAACAGAAACTGCTTATTTATAGAAGAAATTTCTCAGCCAGGTGACAGTTGCAAGATGCAGACAAGCCCACAGCATCAAGCCAAAAGTTTGGTAACAGTTTCTGGAACATCTGTTAATGAGCTGTACTGTGTGAGGGGGGCCAGGGAGATAGACAAGACAAGGTCTGTGTTGTGCCTCTTCAGATCTTAACATCGAGGCCAGGCACAGGGGCTCACACCTGTAATCCCAGCACTTTGGAGGCCAAGGTAAGAGAATTGCTTGAGCCCAGGAGTTCAAGACCACCCTGCGCAACGTGGCAAAACCCTATCTCCACAGAAACATTTTAAAAATTAGTCCAGTGTGGTTCACACCTGTAATCCCAGCACATTGGGAGGCCAAGGTGGGTGGATCACTTGAGGTCAGGAGTTTGAGACCAGCCTGGTCAACATGGTGTAACACTGTCTCTACTAAAAATACAAAAATTAGCTGGGCGTGGTGGCGGACGCCTGTAATCCCAGCTACTTGGGAGGCTGAGGCAGGGAGAATTGCTTGAACCTGGGAGGCGGAGGTTGCAGTGAGCTGAGATCCCACCTGAGTGACAGCAAGTCTCTCTCCCAAAAAAAAAAAAAAAAAAAAATTATGCAGGAAAATCAGAGGTGATACACGAAGGAAGACTCACAATGCCACTGACAGAAAGAGGGGCATTTGGGGTAAGAGCTTGTGGAAAAAGGGTTGAAGGGAAGATAGGTTTGGGGCATTATAACAACAATACAATAATCTACGTTCCGTTGTTGAAAATTTAGAAAACCCACATGAACAGATAAGAAAACATTTTTTAAAAAATCCACAGTCCATGGCCAAGCGCAGTAAGTAGCTCATGCCTATAATCCCAGCATTTTGGGAGGCCGAGGCAAGCGCATCATGAGGTCAGTAGTTTGAGTCCAGCCTGACCAACATGGTGAAACCCCGTCTCTACTAAAAATACAAAAATTAGCAGGGCATAGTTGGGAGCGCCTGTAATCCCAGTTACTCAGGGGCCTGAGACAGGAGAACTGCTTGAAACTGGCAGAGGTTGCAGTGAGCCAAGATCACGCCATTGTACTTCAGCCTGGTGACAGAGCAAAACTCCGTCTTAAAAAAAAAATCCACACTCCAAGCATCCAGAAATAATCACTGCCAACATCTGGTGTGTTCCAGAAGTTGCAAACCGGCCTGATAATGGAAGTATTCTTCTGTTTGACCGATCTTTGATGTATACCCTAATCCAGAAGGAATTCTAGATAGACAGATTTATAAAATGCCTTTTCCTGTTTACATAAACGGATCACTTGAATTTGCTTTTTTTTTTTTTTTTTTTTTTTTTTCAGATGGAGTCTCACTCTTTCTCCAGGCTAAACTGTAGTGGTGCAATCTTGGCTCACTGCAAACTCTGCCTCCCAGATTCAAGCGATTCTCCTGCCTCAGCCTCCTGAGTAGCTGGGATTACAGGTAGGTACACACCACCACTCCCAGCTGATTTTTATATTTTTAGATGAGACAGGATTTCACCATGTTGGGTCACTCTGGTCTTGAACTCCTGACATCAGGTGATCCACCTGCCTCGGCCTCCCAAAGTGAGCCTCTCAAAGTGCTGGGACAGACATGGGCCTCCCAAAGTGAGCCTCTCAAAGTGCTGGGACAGGCATGAATCACCTTGCCTGGCCAATAATTCTTATTTTTAAAATTCATATTATTAAAAAAATAAGTATTCAAACAGTACCAAACATTTTTTTTTGTCAACTCAACATGGATTAGACAAAGATTTTTCAATGAAAAGTAAGTCTTTTTCCTACTCTAGATTTCCTATCTCTTGCCAGAGGCAGTAATTATTATCAGTCTCTCTCTCTGTTTTTTTTGTTTTGTTTTGTTTTTGAGGCGGAGTCTTGCTCTGTTGCCCAGGCTGGAGTGCAATGTCGTGATCTCGGCTCACTGCAACCTCTGCCTCCTGGGTTCAAGCGATTTTCCTGCCTCAGCCTCCTGGGTAGATGGGATTACAGGCACCTGCCACCACACCTGGCTAATTTTTTTGTATTTTTAGTAGAGATGGGGTTTCACCATGTCGGCCAGGCTGGTCACAAACTCATGACCGGTGATTTGCTCGCCTTGGCCTCCCAAAGTGCTGGGATTACAGGCTTCAGCCACTGCGCCCGGCCATAAACACATTTTTTTTTAATGCAGGACTTGAGCCTAGGAAAGGTTTTGAATTTAGATATTGTTCAAAACCTCAAATTCCTCTGGGGTCCAGGCAGTAAGATAAGTGGAGTCTCCCTGGGTAGGACAGGGAGAAGCTGAAGCAGCCGGCCTGGGGCTCCACTCCCTCGATCTCTGCCAGATGCTGTCCTTTGGAAGACAGGCAAAGGAGAAGGGGAAAACATGATTAGAGAAATAGGGAGAGAACAAAAATTATCTCCCAGGCTGGGCACAGTGGCTTATACTTATAATCCCCCTACTCTGGGAGGCTGAGGCGGGCAGATCACTGGAGGTCAGGAGTTTGAGACCAACCTGACCAACATGATGAAACCCCATCTCTACTAAAAATACAAAAATTAGCCAAGTGTGGTAGCACATGCCTGTAATACCAACTACTTGGGAGGCTGAGGGAAGAGTACCGCTTGAACCCCGGAAGCAGACATTGCAGTGAGCCAAGACTGCGCCACTGCACTGCAGCCTGGATGACACAGTGAGACCCTATCTCAAAAAAAAATTATCTCCCATAAGAGTTAAGCAAGGAAAAGTTTTAGTCTGGGATAGGAAGTGGAGTGAAATTCTACAGGAGGATCAGAGGCAGTGCACCAAGGAAGCAGGTCATTGGTGGCCTTTGAGTGTATCCCTGGTGCAAGCTAGATGGTAGATATTTAAGGACTGGTGAGGAAGAGAAGGCAGCCATGCCTGGGGCCAGGCGCATTGGCTCAAGCCTGTAATCCCAGCACTTTGCAGGACCAGGCAGGCAGATCACCTGAGGTCAGGAGTTCGAGACCAGCCTGGCCAACATGATGAAATCCAATCTCTACCAAAAATACAAAAAATTAGCCAGGCATGGCAGCACATGCCCATAATCCCAGCTACTTGGGAGCCTGAGGCAGACAAATCACTTGAACCCAGGAACCAGAGGTTTCAGTCAGCTGAGATCACACTACTGCACTCCAGCCGGGGCAACAGAGCAAGACTCTCAAAAAAAAAAAGGAGCCATGCTTGGAAGCCAAGAGAAGCAGGAGGAAGAAAGCTTTGTAACTCTTAAGAAAGAGATACACTTGCTCAGGTGCTTCAAATCACATGTAGTTCACTGCGGCATCACATCTGTTTCTAAGAGCCAAGAACAACCTAACTGTCCGTCACTGGGAGCCTCATAATGGAAGACTATAAGGCCATCAGAAAGAATGAGACAAGTCAGACGCAGTGGCTCACACCTATAATCCCAGCACTTTGGGAGGGTGAGGTGAGCAGATCACAAGGTCAAGAGTTCAAGACCAGCCTGGCCAATATAGTGAAACCTCATCTGTACTAAAAATAAAAAAAAATTTTTTAAATTAGCCAGGTGTGGTGGCAGGCACCTGTAGTCACAGCTACCTGGGAGGCTGAGGCAGGAGAATTTCTTGAACCTGAGAGGCAGACTTTGCAGTGAGCCGAGATTGCGCCACTGTACTCCAGCCTAGGCAAAAGGGTGAGACTCTGTCCCAAAAAAAAGAAAAAGAATGAGACAGATGTGTTCTCATATAAAAGATAAAGCACGAAGTGAAAAACACAAAGTACAGACTGGGCACAGTGCCTCACACGTGTAATGCCAGCATTTTGGTAGGCCAAGGTAGAAGGATCACTGGAGCCCATGAGGTCGAGACAGCCCGGGCAACACAGGGAGATCCCATCTCTACAAATAATTTTAAAATTAGCCAGGTGTAGACTGGGCGCAGTGGCTCACACCTGTAATCCTAGCACTTTGAGGGGCCAAGGCACACGGATCATGATATCAGTAGTACAAGACCAGCCTTGCCAACATGGTAAAACCTTGTCGTAACTAAAAATACAGAAATTAGCCAGGCATAGTGGCACATGCCTGTAATCCCAGCTACTCAGAAGGCCAAGGCAGGAGAATCGCTTGAACCTGGGAGGTGGAGGTTGTAGTAAGCTAAGATAGCAACATTGCCCTCCAGTCTGGGGCAACGAGAACAAAACTCTGTCTCAAAAAATAAAAATAAAATAAAATAAAATAGGTAGTGTCTGAATAGACAGACCTAAACAGAGGCTCTATTTGCAAAGATAGAAAGAAGACTCTAGCAACAGACAAAATCTAAAGAAAGAAAGACTCGCTTTCCATTGAAAAATCTTTGGTAGTGTTTGAATACTTAATTTTTTTAAATATGATTTTTTTTGAGACAGGGTCGCCCTCTGTCTCCCAGTTTGAAATGCAGTGGTGTGATCATAGCTCACTGCACCCTTGAACTCCTGGGCTCAAACAATCCTCTTGCCTCAGCCTCCCAAGTAGCTAGGACTACAGGAGTGCACCACCAAGCATAGCAGATTTTTTTTCTTTTTAGTTTTTTTTAGGTACAGGGTCTCACTCTGTTGCCCATGCAAGTCTTGAACTCCTGGCTCCAAGCAGTTATCCCACTTTAGCCTCCCAGTGTGCTGGGATTACAGGCATGAGCCACTGCACCTGGCTGACTAGGAGCATCATTTTGAAACGAGGATTTTTAAAAGTTTTATAAGACTGATGCTGATGTAATCACATCACCAGAAGAGTGCTGTGTTTGCTCTCGCATGACATCAAAAGAACAGAGAGGGATCCACTACTGACGTCTCCCTCAAGCTTCTCTTGTCACTCACAGCTCTAAGGAAGCAAAGTGCTGCTGCGTCAAACTCTCAGAGCCATGAATAGCTTCTTCTGCCACGGTCCGAGCTCCAGCACCAAACGCTTGGCTGCTCATCCACAGAGGCAAGAGCCAGACAGGGGCAAGAGCCAGACAGGGGCAACCTAAACTCCTTATGAGCTCCCCCTGCAGAGCCTCACTCTGGCAACCAGGCATTCCTGACTTCTAGATCCACTGGTTGGTGACATCTGGTCCCACTCTCAGACCTTCATCTCCTCAGATCCTACAACAATTGTGCAAGGTCTAGTTGCTGCCCTTATCCCGTAACACTCACCCATGGTGGCTCAGCTCCCCAAAGCAACCCTGACTGTTACCACCTATTTAACCTTGATGTTTTGAACCTACAGGCTTTCTTGGGTTTTTTTGGTTGTTGTTGTTTTTTTTTTTTTTTTTTTGTGATGGAGTTTTGCTCTTGGTGCCCAGGCTGGAGTGCAATGGCGCAATCTCAGCTCACCGCAACCTCTGCCTCCCGGGTTCAAGCAATTCTCCTGCCTCAGCCTCCCAAGTAGCCGAGATTACAGGCATGTGCCATCATACCCAGCTAATTTTGTATTTTTAGTAGAGACAGGGTTTCTCCATTTTGGTCAGGGTGGTCTCGAAACCCCAACTTCAGGTGATCCACCCACCTCGGCCTTCCAAAGTGCTAGGATTACAGGTGTGAGCCACCACACCCAGCCCTTGTTTTGTTTTTTTGAGACAGGGTCTCACTCTGTTACCTAGGCAGGAGTACAGTGGTGAGATCAAAGCTCACTGCAGCCTCAACCTCCCAGGCTCAAGTGATCATTTCACTTCAGTCCCCTGAGTAGCTGGGACTATAGGAACATGCCACCTTGCCTGGCTTGTTTTTTTTTTATTTACCTTTATTTTTTTGTAGAGTTGGGGGTCTTGCTATGTTGCTCAGGCTGGTCTCAAACTCCTAGATTCAAGCCATCTGCCCACCTTGGCCTCCCAAAGTGCTAGGATTATATGTGTGAGCTACCATGCCTGGCCTAGGAATTTTTTTTTTAAACAGAGTCTGGCTCTGTCACCCAGGTTGGAGTGTACTGGCGCAATCTCAGCTCACTGCAACCTCCACCTCCTGGGTCAAGCACTTCTTTTGCCTCAGCCTTCCTGAGTAGCTGGGATTACAGGCGCCCACCACCATCACCAGCTTAATTTTTTATTTTTAGTAGAGATGGGGTTTCGCCATGTTGGTCAGGCTGGTCTTGAACTCCTGACCTTAGGTGATCTGCCCGCCTTGGCCTCCCAAAGTGTTGGAATTACGGGCGTGTGCTACCGCACCCAGACAGCATTTTCATTTTGTACTGGGCCCAACAAGTTAAGTATTCAGTCCTGAGTGACTCAGTAAAGAGAATGTTAGAAAGTTCTCATTATAGGATTTGGATTTATGTCAAAGTTATTTGGGAGGGTTTGCAAAAACAGGGCTTAGCTGACGTTGGTGGGATATGGGGGGATTCTGTAATTGGGGGATATCTCAGAATCAGTAGAAGTCTCCAGAGAAACAAAACCAACAGGAATATAGAGATAAGGACAGAGATTTACTTTAAGGAATTGCTTCATGCAATTGTAGGAGCTGGCAAATCCAAAATCCATAGGGCAGGCTCGAAGGCTGAATATCCAGGTAAGAGTGGATGTTGCAGTCCTGAGTTTGAAATCCACGGGGCAGTCCAGGCAGGCTGGAAACTCAGAGAGGGTGTCTGTGTTTCTGTCTTGAGGCTAAATTCCTTCTTCTTTAGGAAATCTTGGTCTTTGCTCTTAAGTCCTTCAACTGATGGGATGAGGCCCACCACAATATGGAGGGCAATGTCCTTTGTTCAAAGTCTACTGGTTTAAGAGCCAGGTATGGTGGCTCAGGTCTGTAATTCCAGCATTTTGGGAGGCTGAGGCAGGCTGGAGAACAGGAGTTCAAGACCAGCCTGTCCAACATAGTGAAACTCTGTCTCCTCAAAAAAAAAATACAAAAATTAGCCAGCATGGTGGCATGCACCTATAATCTCAGCTACTCAGGAGGCTGAGGCAGGAGATTCGCTTGAACCCAGGAGGCAGAGGTTGCAGTGAGCAGATGTTTTTGTTTGTTTGTTTGTTTGTTTTTATGGAGTTTTGCTCTGTTGCCCAGGCTAGAGTGCAGTGGCTCAATCTCAACTCACTGCAACCTCCACCTCCCGGGTTCAAGCAACTCTCCTGCCTCAGCTTCCCACGTAGCTGGGACTACAGATCCACACCATACCCAGCTAATTTTTGTATTTTTAGTAGAGATGGGGTTTCGTCACATTGGCCAGGCAGGTGTCAAACTCCTGATCTCAAGTGATCTGCCCACCTCTGCCTCCCAAAGTGCTGGGATTATAGGTGAGAGTCACGGCACCAGACCTTTTCTTTTCTTTCTTTTTTTTTTTTTTTTTTTTTTTGAGATGGAGCCTTGCTCTGTCACCCAGGTTGGAGTGCAGTGGCTCGATCTCAGCTCACCGCAATCTCTGCCTCCCAGCTTCAAGCAATTCTCCTGCCTCAGCTTCTCAAGTAGCTGGGATTACAGGCATGTGCCACCACGCCCAGCTAAATTTTTATGTGTATTTTTAGTAGAGATGGGATTTCGCCTTGTTAGTCAGGGTGGTCTCGAACTCCTGATCTTGTGATTCACCCCCCCGCCTCAGCCTCCCAAATTGCTGAGATTACAGACATGAACAACCACGCCTAGCCTTCTTTTTTTTTTTTTTAATAGAGACAGGGTCTCCCTCTGTTGCCCAGGCTGGTCTCGAAACTCCTGGACTCAAGAGGTCCTCTTGCCTCAGCCTCTCCAAGTGCTAGAATTACAGGCGTGAGCTGCCACATCCAGCCAGTATTTCATTATAGCAGCTCAAGCAGACTAAGACAGACATGTTTTTTTGTGAATGAGAAATAAACCGCTAAGATGTGGGTGTTGTTTGTTACTGCAGCAAAACCTCATTTATCTTGACCGATAGAGTCCAAAGCCATTGCATTAATTCCTCTGCAATACTCTCTTTACTTTCACTAAAAACTTTTTTTAAAAAAAATTAATTAATTTTTTCGAGATGCAGTCTCACTCTGTCACCCAGGCTGGAGTACAGTGGCACAATCTCAGCTCACTGCAAATTCTGCCTCCCAAGTTCAAGCGATTCTCCTGCCTCAGCCTCCCAAGTAGCTGGGATTATAGGCGCACACTAACATGCCCACCTAGTTTTTGTGTTTTTAGTAGAGAAGGGGTTTCATCATATTTGTCAGGCTGGTCTCGAACTCCTGACCTCCGGTGATCCACCTGCCTCTGCCTAACAAAGCACTGGGATTACAGGCATGACCACCCCACCTGGCAAAAACTTCTTTATGATGACTGTATCTCTGTTTGAATGAGCAAGCCCTTTCTAGTGCATGCAATTCAAAATGAAAGAAGCCTCAAACGAACACAAAACTGGCCAGGCTCCGTGGCTAATGCCTGTAATCCCAGCCCTTCGGGAGGCCGAGTTGGGCAATCACTTGAGTTTGGGAGTTCGAGACCAACCTAGCCAACGTAGAGAAACCCTGTCTCTACTAAAAATACAAAATCAGCCAGGTGTTGTGGCACATGCCTGTAATCTCAGCTACTGAGGAGACTGAGGCAGGAGAATCACTTGAACCCAGGCGGCAGAGATTGCAGTAGGCCAACATCACGCCATTGCACTCCAGCCTGGGAAACAAATGTGAAACTCTGTCTCAAAAATAAATAAAAAAGGACGCAAAACTAACAAGAACGCAAAGGAACAGCAGACAGCACACTAGAAATACTGGTCCTCTGGTGTATACACAAACTGCACACAGGTTAGTTTCTTCCACGTGAAACAGCCTGAAGGAAGTGAGCTTTGTGCTTAGGGGAACCAGAGAAGATGAAACAGCTTGAAGCTGGGGTCTGAGGAAGGAGGGAGCCAGGAGCCCTGCTGAGCGAGTCCTGCAAAGGCAGAGTGATTGCAAAGACCTTCTTCCTCCCTTCCTCTCCCTCAGACTTAGATCTTTGCAGGTTCCTCAGGAGCCTTGTTTACTTACCGACATGAAAAGGCTAATTTGATATGGGGCCAATTCTCGAGGCTCTCTGCTAGTTTTCCACGAAGATTCCCTTTGAAGATGAGCTCCTCTGAAGGCTCTCCCTCTACAGTCTTAGAAGTGTGACATTCTGCAGGCTCTTTAGAGTTTTTCAAAGTGGCTTCACTCTGATTTCCAGGGTGTCTTGACTGTTTGCAACTGGGAAGGCT